GTACATGTTTGGCTATTCAAATAAAATAGTGAGAGTCAGCTAATTCTCTGAGACAGAAGTCAAATATGGTCACTCTCACATTTATACATGTACATGTATACCCTTCCACCATTTGCAGATCAGAAATCACTACAAACCTGCTCCCAAAACATAATTCAAGCATGTAAAGAGGAGATGTTTGCCTACAATTTAGGTATTTGACTGTACCATACCAATAGTTTAAAAGGAAGCATTATAGCAAGTTTGAAAATGAACTGATGTGTGCAATATAAGGTAAAACTAAACATTATGATCTAGAGTCAAGAAAGTAAGTTCTAGATCAGAATAGTCAATACATGTATGTGATCTCCAGATACTGATGCAGAAGTTTAAATAAAAGCAGCTGCTCATCCATTTTGTTGAGTTCTTAAACAGGTTATGAGATTTCGGAATCTAATCATCATTTATTTTCATGTTACCAAATCCTCTTCTATGGTCATGATATTTAAAATCAAGCCTTCATTCATTCATCAACTTTTCAAAATTTATGAACAAAGATGACATACCCATGCATTTCAAACGATTATTTGCAAGCAGACTGGTTATGGATTCCATGATACCAAACTGCAGAAACGGCACCAGATAGATCAATTTTTTTCCTTCCCTGCAAGATGGCAAAAACCCATTATTAAAATATGCAAATAACTGTCAATGGGGCTCACAAGTAATTCCCTATAAAGCCTTTGACAGAAGATGAGCAAGACAGAGAATACATTGTATAATACTAACAACCAGATCATATGGAAAGATAATTTTTATTCTGACAAGGACAGATATTGTGTTTGATGTCCCTGCACATAACAGACACATTGAATTAATGTCACGATAAGAAACCATGTATCAGAATGCGTCTATGAATTTATGGTCTTGGCTACTGATTTTTTTTTGTTTGAGAATGCTCCAAAAATCAAAAAAGCATAGGTAATCAGACATTACAGAGCTCACCTCAACAAATGTTGTCTTTAAGTAAGGCAAAGTCACACAATTACCCATCCAAAAAAGCAAAATTTATGCAATTTTGATCTGATACTTTGGAATAGACCTATATAAAAACTTCAAACTAGTTCTTCATCACGAAAATGTGATTAAAATCCAGCATCTGAAGCAAGTTTGAGAGTTTTCATCCCTTGATGCATCATTTGTGCAAGTTTGGTTTATATAAGCCCAACAGACATGCACCCATAGCTTTTACCTGGTTCTTTATCTAGAAAATGTATGTCGAATTCAGCATCTGGAACAAGTCCATTAGTGTGCATCATCCATGCAAAGTTTGTACAACATAGGGCTTATAGTTACCAAGAAATGAAACCTGCATAAAAATTTAACCTCTTCACTCATCCAGAAAATGTAGGTCAAATTCAGCATCCGAAGCAAGTCTAGTAGTATGCATCCTAGGATGTACCATCCATGCAAGTTTAGTCATTATAGGGCTCATTGTAACTTGGAAATGAAACCTGCATCAAAAACTTTAACCTGTTCACTCATCCAGAAAATGTAGGTCAGAATCAGCATCCGAAGTAAGTCTGGTAGTATGCATCCTATGATGTACCACCCATGCAGGTTTGGTCATTATAGGGCTCATCTTGGAAATGAAACCTGCACCAAAAACTTTAACCTGTTCACTCAACCGGAAAATGTAGGTCAGATTCAGCATCCGAAGCAAGCATGGTAATGTGCATCCTTAGATGTATCATCCATGCAAGTTTGGCAACGTAGGGCTTATAGTTACTTGGAAATGAGACCTGCACCAAAAACATTAACCTGTTCACTCAACCAGAAAATGTAGGTCAGATTCAGTATCCCGAAGCAAGCCTGGTAATGTGCATCCTTAGATGTATCATCCATGCAAGTTTGGCAACATAGGGCTTATAGTTACTTGGAAATGAGACCTGCACCAAAAACTTTAACCTGTTCACTCAACCGGAAAATGTAGGTCAGATTCAGCATCCGAAGCAAGCCTGGTAATGTGCATCCTTAGATGTATCATCCATGCAAGTTTGGTCAACATAGGGCTTACAGTTCCTTGGAAATGAGACCTACACCAAAAACTGCACCAAAAATGTTAACCTGCCCCAAAAACATTAACCTGGTCATTCCTTTGCTGAGATTGCAGCATCTGAAACTATGACTGGTACAATGAAACACACTAGAAGCATCTTCCATGACTGTCTAATCAATATAGGACATAGAAGTACTTAAAAAGAAAACTGCTCCAAAAAACTTAACCTTAACCTGGCCCTCTGACACCGATGGTATAACTATTACATAAACTCCCCCAACTTCGTTGAGGTGAGCTAATTATTGTTCAAAATCTATGCTTTTAATGTCTTTCAATATGGTAGGTTTTCTAGGCTAAAAATTTCCAAAAAAAATTTAATTTCATAATGATTCAAACATACAATAAACAACACACAGTTTCTAGAGTAGAAAAGAAGTAAATGCAACAATGGCTTTTTTCCTACCCAAAACATCTTTGGTGGACAAGCAGGTTTGCATACTGGTGGCTATAGCTTGGTTGCTGGAGCACCTGGCAGGGGATTCAGCATGTTCCGGGGCCCCAACATTTGAATCCCAGCCTGGTGGGTGTTCCAATTTTCTTCTCCCCTTCTGTTACATATATCAAAGGAATCTGTAATTTATGTTCTAAAGTTACTTAAAATAGTAAAATCAGGGCTTGGTGGTTAGGGTGTACATGTATGATCTAAGTCTAGTAAGTTGATCCTTACACTGCGGGATAGGGAAACCTGCAGTCCTTTGGATAAGTCTGCATAAACTGAGATCCTGTGTCCCAGTAGGTGTTGGCACAATAAAGACCCCTCACTGCTCAACAGCCCTGAGTGCCAAGCATCGGTTAAAATTTGCAGCCCTCCAACAGCAAGTATTAGCGTCTCCATATGATTGAAAAATTCTCAAGAGGGCGCTCAGGGGCGTTAACCAACCGACCAAGAGACGATGATGTAAAGTTTGAGGCTAATTGTTTATAGTTAAAAGCAGAAAAGCAGCTGATCGAGAAAATACATTATATAAATGGTTATACACAATCCTTCTTGTCCACACATGAGTCCTCATCTCACAAAACGTGGAGTATATACCCAAACATTAAAAATATACAACTAGTGAACTACCTTTTGCTACAAATGTGTTCAAAAGCAACATGATCGAACGTTTAAACTATCTTTTCTTTCGATAATCCGTATTCTCTATTAAACAGTTGATAACTCATTTACCCCACCCAGGGACCTATATACTAATAGTATATAGGTCCCTGCTCCACCCCCTTTTTCAAAGGGAAGACATCAACTTCTCAAAAGGGAATAAATCTGCAGAGTCACATCACAGGAGTCGGCAGTTTTATCAATAAACCAATGTAAACATAACCTATGAGCTTCGCGAGCGTGGCGACGCCCGCGAAGCTCATAGGTTATGTTGATAAAACTGCTGACTCCTGTGGTCACATACAGTGACATACGACATTTTCTCTATTTCTTTCAGAAAATATTCATGAACAAATTGTCATTACAAGTGGCTTAATAAAGTTGTATAGCTATCTCAAGCGTGAGTGAGGCCTAGGGTTCTGTAATAAATACATCACTGTTTACACCAGTCTTTGATTTCCCTCCATCTTCTTGCCATCCTGGAAGGTCACGTGCAATATCACATGACCAACTCAGATGTGCGCTGAGGAGATGAAATATGTTTGATTTTATAGAAAATGCTTATGTTGAAATATTTTAAAGAGAGAAAATGTTGATTTTTATAATTGTATACTCTATAACAACAGCTAATTATAGATCAATAGTAACCAATTCTGGTAGTATTAAACACATGTTAAAAGGGGGAGGCTTTTTTCAGTCTTGAAAATGTTCGTTGAAAACCTATATTTCCCTAAATTTTCTTGTAGTATAGTTAAACATTTTGATTAAAATAAGACCCTCTATGCTCCTATATTCTGTTATGTCGCTATACAGGAGTGTAGAGGATATAATTTTAATTAGATTGTATAGTAAAATTAAGGTAAATCATAAATGTATGAACAAAATTTGAGTCATGAAAGGAGGTTGGACCCCCCCCCCCAACCTTCCTCCCAACTAACACTCGAATTGGAATTTTCGAGGGTGGACAAATTAGCCCCCACCCCCTTTTGCCTTTAAAAGTAAAATTGGCACCACCGCCCCCACCCGCACCCACCCACCCCACTTGCAACTTTATTACTTGCCTGTCATCAAAAAGTAGTCGGTTTTAAGGTCAAAATCTAGTAAATGAAAGGTGCCTACAGATTTATAAAACTTTAGAAATAAATTCCTTTATTGATGCTTTACAACTTTAGCTTGGTCAAATAAGGTGTTTCGGGGCATAAAGTAAAGTACGGGAAAAAGAAAGTTGAAATTGATCATGACGTCATAATGGATCTAGCACCAAAAAATTAGTCTAAAGTTATTTACTAGATCTTGACCTTAATCAGATAGTTTCTGCATATATTTACGATAATTTTTACAAACCAGAAAGATAGAAATACATCTTCGAATTTACCACATGAACACAAATACATGTTACTTTATTTTCATTTTTTATTATTTGATAAACGTCAAAGCACATCGGCTTCAGTTTCATGACGTCATAATGAAACAATGAAGAATGACATCACAATAAAAACATCTCATTGTGACGTCACAATGTCCTTGGTGAAAATGGTGAAAACAATGTTAGAAATGTTTCGTGAATTGTATTCAATGGTGTTAAATAATCTCTCATGGATATATGAAGTATCCATCACATTGACAATTCTAATTCCTCTCTGTATTCAACATTTATGGTAAGTATAGCCATTTGAATATACTGAAGACGAGAACACGCGCAAGATCTTTTCATATTTGTGAATGTTACTTTTCTTCCCTTTAGGTCTGATCAATCATACTGCTAATATTTATATATTTCTTTAATTTATCAATTTTTAGCGTTGAACCACCACTAACCTGGATCCAGTACGTCCTGGCACCTCTTCTGGGATACATGGATTTCTCTGTGGAGCCTAGGTGTGAATTCCTGGGACCCTACTTTAAATATGTAAGCTTTTAATGAAATAGCAGTCTAATGTCCAACTCCTCTAATAACCAACTCTTTTTTATATCAGCATTGCGGTAATATTTTTTCTTTTCTTTCAGCGTGTGTACAAATATGTAGTCACTCGAGTGATGAAGTTGATCTGGAGATTCTTCCTAAAGAAGTAAGTTCTAAGATGCACTTTTCTCTAGTAAACCATATAATTTTATTTATTTTTCATTCATTTCATTATTTGTCTGTTTGTTTGTATGTTTGACAGTTGTGTTCATTTATTTTAGACGAACTAGCTGGTATCGACACAACAAGCTCGTGTTTACAGCGTTTTTGGAGTTCCTGTCTTGCCTTATTACGTTGGTTTTACCCCTGTATAAAATCTATTTTTGGTGAGTGTCACATTTTATAAACGAGAATCACTTCAAGATAATCAAGAAGCATCTACTTGGCTTTGGATTGGGTCGAACTTAGTCAAATATCTGGATTTCAAAACTGCGTTCGCATGGATAATTCTCACAAGTCAAATTGCAAGCTTCTAATTAAGAAGCTCTCTGTTTTTCACAAATTTCACTCTATCCGAAACATCGGGAAAAAATATGCATATTTATAAAATTCAATTCAAGACAAAAAGCTGAAAAAAAGGGGGGGGGGGGGGGAAAGGGGTGTTTCTTTCTTGTAACTGTGTTAAGTACTGGTGTTCAGTGTCGAAATACATCCATTGCAATGGCGGAAAATGATTAGAAATATTATTTCAACACATTCGGATTTCCTTTTATATATATTTCATTTACTTGTTTGCTTTATGTACACCGAAATAGTAATCTCGTATGAAATGATGAACCATGTCTCAATCTCTCTTAATTTTTTATTCTTATCAAGTCGTATATAAAGATTAAGCCCTTTAGAAGCGACATCAATATTCTGAAAAATGTACTTGATTAATATATCTTTTTTTAACTCATCAAACTCATATACAGTTAAATAAGAATTCATAAATTGTAGCTTTTATATCACCAGCTTTGCATTTCTCATACATGTGTACACATGTGTAGATTATTTTCCTCGACATACATGATTGACATGGCCGCATATATACAGTGATTTCTACTAAGTATTTTAAATAAATAATTTATTTTGCAATGTTTTTAGTGAGGAAATTCAGGAAGGATTTCCCCCAAAATGCCTGTACTACTTCGGCTTTGTCAGGCGCAGAAGGTGTCCAGTCTTGGTCGTTTCTGACGTGAGTATGACTATCCTAACAAAAAAAATGTTTTTAAGGTACGTTTTGCCAAGACGTAGTGGAATTCACAGCATGTACACATGTAACCAAAGAAAAAAAAACATCATCTCACATAGGCGTCGGAACCGGGGGGAGGGGGGCTAGGGGGGCTTAGCCCTCCACTTTTTTGCAAAGATAGACATAGTATAGGCATTGAACATTGCGGCGTAGGTTTAGCCCCCCCCCCCCCCACTTTCCATAGACAATTTGCAGTAAAGGCAAAATAAGGGAAAAGTAGTTGGAAAGTAGTAGTGTTTGGAAGAAAATTTGGTACTGAAAGAACTTCGCCTACCCCCCCCCCCCCCCACCCCCACCCCACCCCACCCCGAAATAGGATTTTTATGTTTGGACAATGGACACCCCCCCCCTTTTTTTTTGCTTGTCAGGTTTTCTGTAGGTCTAAAAAAAATTATCTTATCTTACACTTGCCCCCCCCCCACTTTCTATTTGCTTCCGACGCCAATGTCTCATACCCTGTTTGGGAGTAGGCTTTTTCCTATTTGGAGCTGACAACCCACCCTCTTTTTTTATCAGACTTTTGTAAAAGTCTTTTCTTATTTTTATATTATGATACATTTTGTATGTGATACAGAAACAAGTATATATGAGGGGGAATCAAAAGGTTTGTGGACCTGTGCGATAAAATCGACAATACCCTACCGTTGAATATTACATGCACATGCGCAGATCTAGAGTTGGGTGGGTGCGATGTGTGGACATACCCTGGAATTTGATGAAATATTAAATGTATATACTAAACCAGCTAAAAGTGACCTTGGAACCCCCCCCCCCCCGAATACGGTAACCTGTTTTAAATTTTATAAAGTCGCAGGTTTCTGAAGATCTCGAAATGAGCACTCCCCCTCTCCGAAATAGGTTTTACACATTTGAAAAAAAGAGTTATCGCTTCTTTTTTTTTTACTTGTCAAGAAATTTCTGGGCTGGATTTTTTTTTGGGGGGGGGGGGGGATCCCCCTCCCCCCAAAAGGGATCCGCGCCTGCATGCACAAAAGACAAGATAGGATAAAAGCCCTCATTATCGCCTTCGGGTTTGAGGCATGTTTCTTAGAAATGCACAATAGCTTACTGTTAAAAAAAAAAGAAGTCTGTCAATTTTTAAATTTTCTCATTCTTTGTTTTCGAATTCGTAAAATGTAGAACACATATTGTTTTAGCTATTTATCCCTGCTAACAACCATACTTGCAAGCAAAACACGTCCCCACAGGCGCGTTTCTTTATTCCCTCTAACTCTTTTACATGAAGGGATAAAAACAAACATTATTCTGGTGTCGAAAATTAGAATTACTTGGAAAATAATTAAATTAATCGGAACGCCGAAGGAATGATGTTATTTTTTTTTTTGGCATACACTCACACTCTACTGAGTCGGTCGGGCTAAAAAATATAATGATCTGTTTTCCTTTGGCCCAACTTCCACCAATTTTTCCTTGTTTATGATTTCCAGGTAATTCGCCGATATTTCTACTTCACACTTCCAAGGTGGTGCCTGAGGATTTTTCTTTGGTGGAGAAATCGTACACAACTGACAACCCAGGCAACCGAGGACTGAAGGAGTGAAATGGTAAAATTCCCTGTGTTATACAAAGTTGCCAAACGTGCATGTGGTTTAGGTGTACAAATTAAGTCATATAAGGGACAACAGATACTCGACGCTACATGCACATATTGTTGATTTACATGTATCTGATTTTAATATTACAATTAAAATTTAGAAAAAATAACACACACTCTCACAGACACTCTCACAGACACTTTCCTTTTTTTTACTGTATACATGAAAATTTTCGCCCCGTTTAATTCATTTTTGTACTTTTTGCTAACTTTTTGTTGGGCGAATTTAAAATGAAGCGAATTCAAAGCTTTCACAGCTTACATGTAATTTCTTAAACGGAACTATGATCAGTCTACGACTGCATGGGCGAATTTAAAACGGAGCAAAATTAAAATTGTTCGCAAGTGCATAGGGCGAAAATAACACGGGGCGAAAATAACCATTTACATACAGAATACACAAAATGTGATATTTAAAACGATTTTTGGATGATAACATCGGGGATTGACGGAAACTAACGCAAAATGTACATGTAATAAGCACTTTTTGGTCGCATGTTACATTTTTGGCACATAATTGTTGTGGACAATGCAAGGTCCCGTGTCGCAGTAGGTGCTGGCACGAAAAAAGATCCCTCTATGCTCAAATGGCCTTGAGTGTCGAACATAGGACAAAATTTGCAGCTCTCCACCGTGGCAAGTGGTGGCGTCTCCATATGAGTGAAAATTTCTCGAGAAGGACGTTATACAACATACAAACAAACAAACAAACAAAACTAAACAGACAGACAGACCTGTGACTAAGATACAAACTTTACCGTTTTTAAGGACATTATTAAATCTAATTGATTTTTAAAAATTCTATTTCTAACAGTTTATTGAATACTTAAGTTGGTCGTATATTGATATTTTTTCTCGTATTTTTATTATTTCTTAATTTTTATTACTCTGATTCTTATTCGTACGAAGAAACAATTCATTTTATTATTGAAGAGAGAAAGAGAGAGTTTTAATTTTGCTAGTCTGCAATGCACATGCTTTGTAAACCAGTATGAAATCGTAATTCAATGTCCAACATTTAAAAAAAACACAATATATTTACACCTGACAGCAAATAAAAATATACTCATGTAATTCTTTTTAATTTCTATATTTCATGAATGTGCCTATCAAAAAATAGAAGAAAACTGATCAATGAAATACCCCCCCCCCCCCCCAAACACGTGCTCATGCACGTTTCTAATTTGCAACGGCTGATTTATATATACTAGGTATCAATTGATTTTAAAAGGCTATATGAAATTAATAAATGATAATATCAGATCTAATGTAAGAATAAGCATATGTTAATTTTTGCTTTTCTTTTCTTCGTTTATTTTATCTAATTAAAAATTATTCTTGTTGCATTTGCTGAATCTCAACGCAAAATGTCACAACGAAAAATTTAGTACTCCAAAATGTTTTTTTTTTTTACATTTTGCGTTGATCTCGACGCAGAATGTAATTACCCTAAAATTCTGTTTTTATAATTATTTTGCGTAATTACATTCTGCATTGATATCCACGCAAAACGTCATAACACAAAATACAATAATTCCAGTTTGTTACATTTTGCGTTGTCATTACATTTCGCTTTGTAACAGTTTGTAACAGTGCCTGTTAGATCCCTAGACAATATTTCTTTGATCCGCGCCGTAGCACTCTGACTCTGACATAATTATTTTTAATTACATGTAGGCCTATTGTCACTTATTTAAACAATTAAGTTTAGGATAAACTTGCCTGCTGTCTGTTAAACAGAATACAAATGAAAAGAATTATATCGAGGCAATTACACTGCATTGCGTGAGAAATGCGATAATTCAACATTGCGAACACGGAAGTACTGTAATGTTATGATTTCGTTCTCTGCGCAAGCTTATTTCAGACTTCCTCTCCACGTTGAGAAGTAGACACCGGCGAAATTGTTGTACCATTTGGAATATATAAATCGCAATAATGGTTTTAGATATTGAACTTTTTAGGGCAGATAAAGGAGGAAATCCTGACAAAATCAAAGAAAACCAAGCCAAGCGTTTTAAAGACGTTACCTTGGTGGATAAAGTAGTTGAAAATGACACCCAGTGGAGAAAAAGTAAGGGATATGTTGACAGGTTAACCTGTCAAGAAAATAATGTTTCTCACTCAGTGTTTGTTAAAACTGACAATTTATTAGCAGTTTTGCGTAAATATAGCAAGGAACAGCATGTGAATTAGGTTTTTAACTAAATATAATGATGATGCAAGTAAGTTGATGGATGATGCAACTTACAAGAAATAGACTTATACTACTGGAAAGCTGTTTTGGAGCCAGGTACAATGATTGTCTGTATAGATTGAAATAGCCACATTGCTTTATTAAGCTATTCGAATAGAGTTTTCCACAATTATGCTAAAAAGTTGCAAGTATGTGACAATAATGTCTGCAGAACTGAAGCTCACGGGTTCGGCCATGTCTAGTTAGAAGTAACACGAGTAATGTCACATGGATTAAGTAATGGAATTACTAATATGTTGACTGTGCGACTGTTGAGTTAGTGCTGATGCTTATTTGGTTTTATGAAGATCAGGCTCGTCAGACCAAACGTGGCATTTGGTGCGTCAAAACTCTGACGTCACATGACGTCATACATGTGATTCTTCCAGCGGGAGGCAAAATCTCCCAATTTTTAACCCCCCTTCCATCCCTCCCGATTAATTTTTAAATCTTCTGTGCTTAAAATAATTCTTCAAATTAAATATATTTTGCATTACTTTTTATCATGTTTCTTAAAAATGCTTAGAATGACAATACATTGAGATAACAATGGCAGTGCAATAAATTTTCACAGCAGTAGGCTTCGTAGTAATCAACATGAGGTCGTATAATTCGGTTGTAAAAATTGGTGATATATCAACTTGATAAATGACCATCAATGTTTTATTGCTGAATTGCTGAATGCAGAACATTGTAATTAGTTGCTAAAATACCCAATTGCCATCTTCCAATGCTGCGGTGGTCATTAAAAGATACAGTTATAATATGGGTTACACTTTAGTTAAAAATAGATCAAACTACAGGGTGTTGCTAATAAATATACCTGACTCTACTTCCACTTTGTTGTATTTTTAGAGAAATTAATTTTATCTCTTTATATTCTATTTAAAAAAAAATTACTGACATAAAATATGTTACATAAGACCTATATATGTTTTACTTCACTTACTGCTAAAACTATACTTCACTCTACTTTGTTGTATCTTTAGAGAAGTTAATTTTATCTCTTCATATTCTATTTAAAAACAAATTACTGACATAAAATATGTTACATAAGATCTATATGCATGTTTTACTTCACTTACTGGTTGATGTATCAATACCAAATCAAAAATAAAACAAATTATTTTAAAGCTAACCTTTATGAAATAGAAATTATTTTAAGTAATTAAGAGGGAGATGACATTTTCTAGGGAGTTGGATGGTCTTTCACAATTTGAAAAAATGTTGATAAAAAATCTCCAGTCCAGTTTTGAGACCCAAACTCCAGCTGAAAAATTTCAAATCTCCAGTTGTGATTGTTCAGTTCTGTCACATGTATGTGACGTTGTAATGTATAATTGCATTACCAAACCAAAACCTGAAAATTGCTGATTTTAGTGAAGAACCATTCTCTTGACTATTTGTCTGCAATATGTTCAATAAATCAAGGCAAATTTATTTAAGGAATGACTCTAATTCTTGGCCAAATTATTCGATAAAACCTGGTTTGGGTCAGTTTACGCTTTATAATCCACGAAGCATGGATACAGATGATTCAACTGGTTGTCAAGGGAGGGGGGGGGGGGTGTCCCGGCCCATACCAAGCCAGATTGTACAGAATAATTTGTGTTCCTTTTTGTAAATCAACCAATGAGAGGCTAGAATACAAAGAAAATTAAATAAATTATTATTTGTTTAACTTTTCAGGGTTCGACACTAACATTTTTAGGCTTTGGTCCGGCCGAACTAGTGCTTCTTTACTTTTACTAGTCCGCGGGTAATTTTATTAGTCCGTCAAAAATAACAATAAATAAATAGAATTAATGTTGCAATGTCCTTTTTTGAAATAAACAAAGCATTTACATGAAATGTTTATACCAAGATTTCGTTGAAATCGCACAATCAGGAACTACGATCGTATTCCCGATCTCATTCGTTTTTCTCTATACATGATTACATCATCTAAACATCCGACATCTTTTTTATGTGTCATACTAAATCATGATCACTTAAATGTTCAATTTCATATCGATGAGTCCTAAGATTAAGCACCGAATAGAATCAGAATTACCTAACTTCCCGCCTAGAAGCTAGAAAACTAAAAATAAATATGGGGTTTTCCACTGAAAGTTGTCGAAAACTTGAACATCGGTAAATTCTGTTTTCTCCCAAGAAAATTTTATTAGTCCCTTCGGACTAATTAGCTACAATTTTTATTAGTCCGAATGAAAATGTATTAGTCTGAGACTAACGGACTAACGTTAATGTCGAACCCTGCTTTTGTTTGTTATTCTCGTGAGTACATAGCCTTACAAAGTGATGCATTGTGGGTCCAAAGTAACTGCTGAAAAAAATTCTATAGAATGAATGTGCAGTAGTCCAAATTTTCTCTTCCCCCAGGCATTGTCATTAGAGCTCGCTAAGTAAGAAAGAATGATCAAAAATTTTAAAATTTAAGTCTGTACATATTGACATGTAAGAGAATATAATTCTGTTTTTTCAAGAATATTAAATATGATCTAAAAAACTACACATGAAAAACTTCAAAAAGTGTTTCTGAAAAATAAATGTTCCCTAAAAATTATTACTTGATTGATGAATAAATGGATACACAATGATTTCTTCCACATAAGAAACTCTTTGGAAAATATTACCAACCCTTATAAAGTCCAGATTCAAACATTGTAAATTGTATATCCTAATTAAAAGTTTTTGAACCATGGAATTTTATTTGATTTCAGAAAGGTTTAGAGCCGACTTGCTGAATAAACAGAAGAATCTCTGTAGCAAAGTTATAGGCGAGAAAATGAAGGTGGGTATGGCATTAAAAATATTGATGAATTAGATGATTTCAAATGCTTTACATTTATTAAGATAAGATAAGCTTTATTTAAAGTCAGTATGCAGGGATTGACATTAACGGTTGTCCGATTGCCCGGGACAAGTAAATTCTCAGTTCGGGCAAGTGAAACTATCAATTACTTGTCCGATCGGGCAAGTGGATATTTCTGATAGAAACATTTTTTTAATCTCACATAAGTTTATAAACAACACAACCCAGGATGAATTAAACACTTGAATTTCTGCCAAAAACGGGAAATTGTTATTGCATTCGGAATATTAATCCCTCGGAAGCGTTTCTGGATAAGAAATCGGGTTTGTTATTCTGTTTTCATTCGTTGTTTAAAAAATACGATTATCTGTCTGACAACTTACGTTACAGTCTTATTATGAAATAGAGATTACAGAATACTTTCTCTACCCAATTAAGGAATTATATGAAGAACACCAATTATTTACGATGCACGGTGTATCTTGATTCAAATCATAACAACTCTCTTCCTTCTGGCTTAAAATTTCAAGCAAAAATCATTAGGCCTAGAAAATAATATTCCTGCAGTACTCTGTGTGTTTTCAAGATAGTTAAATGACAGGAAAGTGTTTTACATACATTGCACATTTACAAATGTAGCATCACCAACATATCAACATTTTTCCGGCTGTTAACATCGAAATTGAGATTAATTTGTCAACTTTTATATTTATAACAAATTCATGCAGGTACAATAACTTTTTTTTTTCAAAAACTTTGGGCAACTAAATTTTGCATTTGGACAAGTCAAAATTGTAGTTCACTTGCCTGAAGGACAAGTGGAAATAAAAGTTAATGTCTACCCCTGGTATGGTAGTTAAAAAGTAACACAAGCTCTAATGAGCTTTTGACTGACATTTTTAACGTATACATAACAGTAAAACAATGAAAACATGCAGCACTATATAAACATAGAATTACTTGCAACAATACAGCACACAGTCTAATTTAAAGGACATTGTCAGCCAAAGAAAAGATTGACACACATGCACAGACACACAAACAAAAGGACACAACTTACCTAGTGGAGCAGGCTGTACACTCACAGTCCTTACCGCTCCAAGAGGCAATAATAGATTTAAATTGTAAAAAAAATTGGTTTGACATTTAAAATGTTCAGGTAAGGAGTTCCATAAAACTGGTGCTGCATATCTAAAAGACATTTTGCCATATGACGTAGTTTTCACTTTGGGTATTTCTAAAATGTTTGAATATCTAAAATTGTATTATCTTAAAACTCACCAAGTCTGACAGACATCTAGGAGAAAGGTCATGTAAAATCTTAAAACATTCCAGAGCCATGTTACACATTCTTCTAATCTCTCAGGGATTTTCCACTACCCCGTGTAGGGCCGAATATGGGCCCCATTCCCAACTGCAAAATCACTCTTTTTCCCAAAAATGAACAGCAGGTGTTCAATTTTTGAATGCATGAAAACTCCACAAAGGTAACTTGATCAAACTTGATGTAAAACAAACATGGTCAGGTTTGAAATCTAAATGAAATAAACAAAATTTGAAGAAATTTGACTATAACTTCATAATATTGATCCTCTGAATTATACTTCTGAATAATCCAGAAAAAATCAATTTCATTCATTATAAGTTTTTATTTCTTGAAAAATATCATGCAATAAAAATTCCCAAAAAGTGATAAAATGTCGTTAAATTCCCAATTGTAAGGGCCTGGGCCCCATTCCCAAAATGGTGTGGAAAATCCCTGTCTCTAATGATGGTAATTTATTAATGTATATTGCAGAGAAACTATGTGTATTCATTAATTTTCTCAAATTCCTTTTGTTTGTTTTTTTTTTTCGGCATGTACTTTGTAGAAAAAGTAATTTGTCATAATTTTTATAATTTTCAATTTAAAATGTCACAAATAATTAGAATGATGGTAACACTACGCAAAAGGTTTTGGGGGGGGGGGGGGTAAAAACCCAATCACAAAAAAGACAATTATAAACCCATGCAGTTACTTTGTTTACTGAATGACTTGTTTTTGTCTTAGCTGGAAAAAAAGTTGTAACATATTTTCAATGAGAGTATGTGCATGTTTTATTCTTAATGCTTCTTCTATGTTAATTAAATTCCCCCAGGCCACAAATTAATCTGCCTGCAAAAAAGAATTTTATTAACTATGTGTAATTTAATTCAATTTTGAGCTTTGTGTTCTTTTACAAATTCTTGCATTATGTCATTTTCAATTAAGGACAATGGTCTAAAAGGAGCAACAACAACCTTTTCACAATTGGGAAAATGATTATTCAAATCAGTATTATAAGATAGTAGAAAGCAATATATGTTATTTTATCTAAACCTGCTTTTACAAAATAGTTAATGGAAAATTTCATTGCCAAAAGAACCAGAAACCAATATTTTAATGTATTAACTTTGACAGCACTCTTTTTGTTTGACTCATTCAGTTAATCTCATGGGTGGAATTGGTAACACTGAAATATACACTTTATGAATTCATTGTGATCATCAAACATTGCAATATAACATTACTTATAAACATGTATTGATATATTTTTAAAGGCAAAAGAGGCACAGGGTGAAGACAAAACAGTACCTGATAATATCAAAGGAAACTTAGAAGAGTTCACCAAAGAGCAAATTCAGGTTTGTATCCTTAGTTATTATTTATATTCAGAAGAAAAATGAAAGAATAGGATAATTATAGTAATTTTTAAATTACATGTAAAATGGCTTGATTGCAAAATATACAGATGTTGAACAATTAAAAAAAGGGGGTTGAGGGGGGGGGGGGGTCAATGTGAGATTTACCAAAACCGGAAAACAATTTTTTTTAGCAATAGTTATTCAGGAAAGTTGAAAGAAAAATAGAATGAAAGCATGGAATAATTATAGTAACTTTTAATTTCAGATAAAAAAATGTTTGTTTAGAAATAATACAGATAAAAAGAATGAGAAATTCCTGAAATTTTTTAAAGCCTATATTTTAATTTTTTCAAGCAAAAGTTTAGCTTCATGGCTTTCATATTGTAGACTTATCTCATTCATTTATGATTTATTTTTCAAAATTTAATGTTGTTGAAAACTCTATTCTTTAAAAGGATTATTTTTATCACAGGATCTGACTGTAGTACAAATCAAAGAACTCAAAAACCTGATTGATGAGCAGATGAAAGTAAACGATGCTGAGTTAATTAAGCATGAACAGGAAAGAAATGAAGCTCTTAAAGAAATAGGCAACCTTGTTCACGAGAGCTGCATTATCAGCAATGATGAGGTAGGAATTGCTTATTATATAGGTAATATATTGTATATAGATATTCCTAAAAGAAAAAAATTCAAAGCTTCAAATACTTTCTTACATTGTTGTTAGCTGAAAATGGTACAAGTTTTATGTTAAAAAGTAGACCAGCATTCTTTAACACTACTAGCTATGCAAAGCATTACTTAAACTTTTATGTTCGGCAGTGATTGACTTGTGTAGATTTTTATACGTCCGTCTTAAGACGGGACGTATTATGTTATAGGCTTCGTGTCCGTCCGTCTGTCCGTCTGTCTGTTAGCTTTTTCGTTTCCGGCTCATAACTTTAATACTACTAGGCCTAGGATTACCAAACTTTGTCATCTGATGCATCTTGGGTAGAAGGTGTGTCGCGCACAAAAAGTAGGTCGCTCTGACCTTTAATTAAGAAGTTATAGCCAAATATGGAAAAATCCTTTCCGGCCCATAACTAGAAAACCATAAGACCTACAATCATCAAACTTGGCCAGTTTATGCATCTTAGGTAGAAGGTGTGTTGCGACCTATTTCAAGGTCACTGTGATGCCTACATCACAGGGGATGGATAAATGACAAATCATCGAAATCTTAGAATCAAGGTTGATGTGATTTTCTTGCACCTAAACTGTTCAAGAAAATTGTAATTTTTTGACGGGCGTATCATGCTGTGGCGCGGCACTTTATTTTCTTCTGTAATGATAAATATTTTGCACATTAATCTGCTTTGCATTGTGCTTTCATTTTATAAAGTAATAGTTATTTGGTATTCATGATGACAGAATCATTGTAGAAATATTTCATAATACTTAAACTAATATTAATCTGAATGTTTGTTTTGTCAGGATGAGAATGGAGTAGAGAGAACGTTTGGAGACTGCGAGACCAGAAAGAAGTACTCCCACGTAGATTTAGTGGTCATGGTAGATGGGGTGGACACTGACCGGGGATCAGTGACCTCCGGGGGGAGAGGATACTACCTTAAGGTGACCAGAGAGGCTGTCTCATTGTCCAAGGCAAAAGCTTGAGGACAATAAATACTCATCTATCTGTCAGTCTGTCTATCACATAAATTTAAAACTTGGTCATAGCTTTTGGATGAGAGAGGATGAGACATATTTCAGGCAGTGAATTTCATGTGAAATGAT